CGTCTCCGGGGCAACGCGCGAGCGAGGCGGGGGATAGCGCCGCGCATGCGCGTCCCGGGGCGACCCGCGCCGCCGCGCCCGCAGATCTTCCTGGCGGCGGGGAGCTGGAGCGTGAGGGAGGTCTCAGGAGGCCGTGCCTGCTCTCCGGGCACGGGGGTGCTTAGCGGAAAACCGTCACTTTAACCGCTGACGGGTTCGCGCTTGGTGGTGCTGCGGGGCCTCTCCGGGGCCGAGGTAATGAGGGAGTTTAACCGCGAGGTGTCACCGTCCTTCTTCCGCCTCTGTACCGGCTGCTCAGGGACTGGAAGGTTTCCAGTTCAACTGGCGGTGTCTTAACCCGGTCTGCAGGGCCATTGGGGATGCAAAAATTGGCTGGGGGATCGCGAAAACCCGTTGGATGGCGTGCTGGTGGCTTAAGTACCAAGTGCTTAAGCACTCCTAATAGTGTTTTTTCCACACGGGTAGGGGATTTGGGTACCGTAAAGGTGCCCTCTGACGGGAGATTGGAGAGGGAGGTGGGCCCCCAGTATGCCATCCCATCTGTGGTGAGCTGCACTCCCTGACATGACAAATCACGAGGATGTTTTCAGATTCTGTGAGAAATTTCCCTTAAGAGAAACATAACAGCAATTAAGGGTTACCAATACAGCGACAGCTCACTGTTTAAGCTGTGTGGGTAGTGATATGCCTTGATTACTTTGGCAAGATCGAAAACATAATATAATCCATACTCTTTGTTTCTGAAATTTTTGGTTCAAATGTAACTCATGGGTGAAATGCTATTTATTTCAGCTCAGTTATGTTACTATGGCAGATGTCTGTACTCCATGACAGCCTCGTGTAGACAGTCACAGACGAGAACTGCAAGTAGCAGCGAGCAATTCAGGGGAGGCCTGCAAGGCACAGGGGAAGCTGTCTGGCAAGATAAGCTTTTAGAAAATGAAGTAAAGAAACCCTGCCCCAAACCAAAAAAAACCTTACCAAAAAGCAAGGACAAGTGTGGGAGGCAAGTGAAAAGAGGAAGGAATGGTTTTGTAATTAATTAACAAACAGCTTGCAGAGTCAATACAGGAATAGGAGTTGTGTTGACTACACGGTTACCAGCTGGGTGGTGGGACAAGAGGATATAGGGCCGCAGGGGCACGGTGCAGGTGCTGCTAGGGTGGGAGGGGAGAGCAGTCCTTCAATATTTCTTTGTGTCTGGACAAGCAAAGTTAATGAATGAGCAGCTCGGTCCAGCCAAGCCAGAGCACTATGGCCCTTAAATTTGACCAGAACCAATATAATCCTTTGATTTTGGGAACTTTACTCATATTTTCTGAAAAACTGAGTTTGGCTATACGGCCATTTCTGCTTTTGGACTGGGGTCTTGAAATCTGGGTAGACATTTCCAGGCTGTTAGGGACATGGTGTTTTCTGTTCACATGAAAAACAGCCATAGCATAGCCTTCAAACATACCATTCTATACATGCCTGGTAAGGAATTGAGTGTGTTTGCTGAACAACCCTAGAAATCTGTCTAGAACAAACTGGGTAGGGAAACAATGAGAAGAGGGCCTATAACAACAGGAGCAAGAATCTGGCATGAAGCTATGGATTCCTGAGGAGCTGCCTGCTACACACCGTTGCCCACAAATTTTCTGAAGATGAAGATGTTGCATGACAGGTTAATTCTGTTAAACTGGCCCCAGTCTCACCCGTTGGGTGATTTTCTCATTCATCAAATGTGCGCTGATTGAATGGCAGCGACTCTCCTACTTAACATCTGTGAAACATTGCGAACTCCTAAGTTACCAGTTTAGTGGAAAAGTGTTGCAAGTCCTGTGTGGGAGAGGCAAAGGTCTCTGTGGGTTAGCAGAGCTTTGTAAGTGACAAAGCCATGCCCAGGAAAAAGCTCAACTCTTCTTTCATGCCCCCTTTTATGTTGTTTTTTGCTAAATATAGCCCCTGAGTTCTGGAACATTTAATGTCATCACAAGACTGACTGCAGCAGGAGCCAAAAACACATTGATCGTAATTCAGATGGCTAAACTGCTGTTAGTACCCATAGCTGCACTCTGGATCTTAGAGTCATAGTAGCTGTTTCACATATTATATGGAGAATTGTCTGGGACCTGCACAGATCTCAGCACCAGAGGTACTGCCTGGGGACTGGGCCTGCCCAGCATGGAATTAATCAGCCTGCTTCCCATATGGCAGCTAAGAAGGGTCTTTTGAGGTCCCTTCAGCTGACTTGAAAGCTGCAGAGCCAAGGCTTTGTCTCCTTCCAGGCTTGCTATGAGTCTCTTAAAATGCCTTGGAGCCACAGACTATTCTTTTTTGGTTTTGTGATAATTTTCTGACACTGTACCATGCGTTATGGCATGCCCCTTGGCTTTCTGAAAGTGAAATGGGTTTATTCAAAGCAAATGTGAAGGTGTCAGCATCTAATAACAAAAGGTGTGCATCCACTATTTTCTCTAACAACTGGGATGCATTCTGTAACTACTGAATGACATCTTGAAATGTAATGCTGAGTCTGGGTCTTCCTGGGACACTAGCTTGGGAGACTTTGTGCTGCAGTGCATTGCATAATATGGTGATGAGCAGACTAGGTGTGTCCAGTTTCCACTATCTTAACTTTCTGCAGCATTGCATAATTAAGAAAGGAAGGAGGTTTATGGAGCCGCTTTGGATATAGACAATGCTTAATTATGAAGGAAGGATATGGAGAGGCATGTTGCCTTCCCAAAGCATTGTCTTCTGTCTGGAGAGGACCATGGCTGCTTTTAAAATTACAGGAATGCTTTGCTGATGTAATACTCTGTAATTACCTGAAATCTGGGTTAGATCTGGTTCTCCATGGTCCTAAAATCAAATTTTAAGCTGCAAGTCTTACCCCTCTGGGCCTGCAGATAAAGAGATAGAGCTCCCAGTCTTGGGAGTAACTTTACATGAGGCCAGAATGCCACTGCTTTCAAGCAGACATCACACAATCATAGAGCAATTTAGGTTGAAAGGGACTATGGAGGTCTCTGATGTAACCCCCTTGCCGAAGCAGGGACAAATTCAGAAATAGATTGGTTTGGTCAAGGACTTCTCCTGCCAGGTTTTGAAAATCTTCAGGAATGGAGAAGCTTGGGGTGGCCTTCAAAATCCCCGAAAGTATCATGCTGCTGTTAATCGATGTCTGACAGAAATATGAAAGACACAGTACAAACATGGAGAGCCATCAGTGTGACTGCAAAGATGAAAGAATCGCAGAACCCAGATGAGGTGCATAATGTACTCTTTGCCCCAGTACTGTTGGAGAACAATTAATGAAAGTGCACTGAAACCTGCTCTTAACTCACTGCAGTGACGTGGTCAAAGAGAATCAGCAATACTGCACCAGTATTGTGGCACTGCTGTCTGCCAGCCTGCAGATGGGGTCTTTGCTGCTGGTCATAGGCACTAGGTTCAACGCATCCATGATATATGGACATTGCCTACATATAGGCCTGATCCTTATAGTGAGATACTTTAGCTTTAAAAAATATATGCCAGCCTGAGAGTTTTGACAGATGAGAGACATTAAAAGGAAAAAAAAAACATACCTGAGGTAAACTTGAGTCCTTATGGTGACATCAATATTTTTTTAAGTAGGTTTGTTAATCTTGACATGTAATTGTGAATAGAAAAAAATGCAGATCCTATCACTCATATCTTCAAAGTTATTAAACTTTTCTCAGTAGCAGCACACCTTCCTCTTGACCCCTGTCCTGAGCTTGTGGGGTTGGGCAGAGCTGGGAAATTCCAGTTCTGAAGATCCTCATTTCTCCATCACTAGTTAAAAACCAGATTTTATTATTCATGATTTCCAACAAAAATTTAAAATTTTGCTTCCCCCTACCACTTCATGTCTGAGTCTCAGCACCATTTTCCCTAGGTTCCCTTCCCTCCATGTCCCCCACAACCTTTGTTTTTCAGTGTGACAAGCCTGCTCTCGGGGCTTGCATTCTTGCTCTACACCACTGTGGGAGCCAGTGACTGGAAAGAACTACTGAGGGGTGAGAAAGCACCTTAGAGGGTGGAGCGATGCACACTTAATTTTAAACTGTCACTCATGAAACTGCTAACTGGAAAATCAATTGTTGATGACCTTCCTGTTTAAGCTCAGACTGTGCTGCTAATCACCCTCCAGCCCCTCCTTACCTCTCTCTTCCTTGAACAGGGCTCTCCCAGTGTCTTCCTTTTGCCTCAGGAAGCTCTGCCTTATTTTTCATCTCCCTGCACTGAGGGCAGTTGTTCAGCTGCACTAAACATGCAGAGCAAGAAACAAGACTGATCTTCTGTTGTCACTTCACTGTAGCCTCCATATTTGTCCATCTTGAAATAAATTTCCCTTTATCACATCTCAGGGAGGCAGAGAAGTATCATCTGTGCTTTATTGGAGTTAAACTGCAGAGTCCAAAAACTGCAGTGGACAGGAGGCATGTGGAAAAAGCAGGCCCTGATGTTGAATAACCTAACTACAAGTCTCCAGTCATTATTTCAAGACCATCCTCCCTGATCATCTATGGAAAACTAGTGACTGCTCTGCTCTTTCAGATACCCAAAGACTTCTCAAATGCCGTGTCTTCTGGTGTCTGTCACTCATAAGATGGGTGTGCATCTGCATATCATATCATGTAACGTCTACTCCTTGGAGTACAGCGCCCTGTGAAATTCTTGAATGATACTGTGGTTACTATCTCACCAGTTGTGATAATGAAAACTGCTTGGTGAATCGCAGGCAAAGCTGTGCAGCTGCACGTGCTGTGTGAAGTCACAGCTTTATGATGGAGAGACAGAATTCACACCTGGAGGAGTGAGGGGGGAGGTGAGTGCAAAAACCTTTTCCTCAGTGCATGGAGGAAGTAGACAGGGCTATGCCTCATATATGATGAGGTTGAATTGCCCTGCAAGCATGTGGAAAAGCAGGCAAATCT